TTAGAAAGGAAAAGTTTGGGACTTCCCTGGTGGCCCAGTGGTTAAGAATCCGCCTGCCAATGCAGGGGACACAGGTTTGATCCCTGGTCCTGAAAGATCCCACAGGCCACGGAGCAACTAAGCCCGCAAGCCACAACTACTGAAGCCCGCACGCCTAGAGCCCATGCTCCACAACAAGAGAAGCCATCGCAATGAGAAGCCTGTGCACCGCAACAAAGAGTAGCCCCCTGCTCTCTGCAACTAGAGAAAGCCCGCACGTAGCAACGAAGACCCAATGCAGCCAAAAATAAAAATTTTTTAAATCAAAATAAAATAAAAAAAGAAAGAGTTTCAAGAACATCTAAAATGTGCCTCATTCATAACAAACCTAACAAACCTTTTTTTTGATTTTTGTTTTTTTAGGGAATCTGCTTAATTATTAAAATAAATATTTACATTGAGAATACAGTTAATTTAGTAGCTTTCTTCACATTTTTGAGAGTCACAGCAGTTTCATTCATGTTTTAAGCAGTTGAGGTGGTAAAGATTCTACTTCATAGGAAATGAATTACATTCAATGACTCCTCACAACAGCCAACTGGAAGATTATTCCATTGCTTTTGAAGCAATGGTTGGGCTGGCATCTGTGATAGTAGCCAAATAAATGAAATTTCTGTGTAACACATGCTGGTACTGGGTGCTCTCATTTGCCTGGCCTTTGTTCTGACACTCCACGATACAGCAGATCAGCTGGTCATTCTCCTCTAGGACCCACTGGATCATTTTGATTGACTTCTGCCCTGCCTCTCAGCCAGTCTGGTATGAAGGCTACCAACATCCTGGGAAGCCAGGTTGAAACCCAGTCTCAGGCGCCACGGATCCTCGTGCATCTAGTAAACCTAGTTTTATGTTTAAATTCTGTGGCTGTCTTCTATGAAAATGTATGTCATTAAAGGCAAATAAGTTTGTAAGAACACAAGAGCATTAGTGTTTCCTTAAGATATACTGTGGAAACTATAATCAAACAACTCGTAAATAAATCATTCCTTAGTTGTGATCCATTAGTCAGTACATTTTAAGTATCAAGAGAAATTTGTAGATGTGTTATAGACTGCGGTACTAGCCTCCAAAGTGGCCCCCCAACTATACTGGCCTCCTGGCATTTATGGGTTGGTGTAGTCCCCTCTCACAATGAATAGGACTGAACTTTGTAATCAATGCGATATTGTTGACATGGTGTGGGACTTCTGTGGCTAGGCCATAAAAGCCATTGAAGCTTCTACCTTGCTCTTTCTGGGGAAGGCCAGCTACCATGTTGTGAGAAAGCTCAAGCAGCCTGGGGGAGAGGCCCACATGGGGAGGAACTAAGGCCTTTTGTAAACAACGAGCACCACTGAGTTAAGTCATCTTGGAAATGGATCCTCCACCCTTAGTTAAGCCTTTGGATGACTGCAACCTCATGAGAGACTCCTGGCCAGAAAATATCATCTTATATTAACAAACAATAAAATATTCATATTCATACTCTAGTATATGCTTTCAGATTTCATTTTAGACATGAAGCTATTAAATAGAGCTTATTAGGAGGGATTCCTTAATTATGTAAATCACCATACACTACTGGCAGATTATTCTCATAAAGTGTGTTTTTTAGAATGTAAGGGTGACTCTGAGACTGACAGACTCCATTGAGATTTTCAGTTATGGAAAACAATACCTATTATAGTAGATACCTGTGATTGGAGTGAAGTTTATGAACAAGTATTAAATGAGTAGGCAATTAAATCCCTTTTTTGTGGTTTTAAAAGGTGAAATTTTAATTATTCAAACATCCTTTCAAATGTAAAAGAACTTAAGAAAATCATTATGTGTGAAAATGTGTCATTAAATAACTATAAAAATATTTCCTTCCCTACTTGAAGGGAAAATGCTGCTTTAACAGGTACATATTTAAAGTAAAACTACACTTAACAAAACACAGATATACTGATTACTTTTCATGATTTTATGTAGCCCACTTTTACCATAAGATGCCATTTAAGTGTTTTCTTTTATACTTTTATATATCAAGGATTACTGATTCTTTAAAAATTCCCTTGGACTACATTTTTACAAATAAAATATATAGCTACTTAAAAAAAGGTTCATGGCCCAAATTCATGCTGTGTTCTGAAAAGACCCAAGCAGAGAATTTAAAGTGGTCTCAATTTGGTGGTGCAAGTTGACTCCAAAAAAAAAGGTCTTTTCCAAACACGTTACTCTTTCAGTCTTTAAAACCTGAACTTCCTCTTGCCTCTATTTCCCCTAGGAGTTACCATTCCATTTATTTGCCACTGTGTACTATACCACCATTGTCGCTGCTTGACCTTGTCACTGTCAATTCCTTTCCTCCCAGTCTCTTTTAAACCCATTCAAATCCACTCCAAGCAAACTTTTGCCCTGATCACTCTATGAATGGCAACTTCATCCTTCCAGTTGCTCAGGTCCGAAATCTTGGAATCATCTTTGACTCTTTTCCTCATACTCCATATCCCATCCTTCAGAAAATCCTGTTGGCTTACTTCCAAATCATATCCTGAATTTGTCCACTCTTCACACTTTCCACTGCTACCTTCCTGGTCTGAGCCACCAGCATCTTGCCTGCTTAGTTTATAGCAATAGCCTCTTCACTCATTGCAGTGGGAAGTCTTCCCACTTCCACTAAAGTCTTAGCCTAAACAAAGTAGCTCCAGGGACTCTTGAAATGCAGATTAATCCTATCACTCTTCTGCTCAAAATGACTCCCCATTTCACTTACAGTAAAAGTCCTTGTAAGGCTTTACATAATTGAAACTCCCTTGTTTCATTCCCTATAACCTATACCTTTGCTAGCTTGGCTCTAGCCACACTGGCCTCCTTGCTGTTCTTCCTCACCAAGCTCCTGCCCTGACACACCTCTGCAGTGGCTGTTCCCTCCACATGGAATGCTCTTCCTCAGGGTATCCACATCTCTCGCAAATCCTTACTCCAGGAGGCCTACCCTGACCACTCTATTTAAAATGGCAACAGATCTCCCCCTCACTCTCTTCTATTCCCCCTGTTTTTTCTATGGCAGTTACCACCTTTGCACATACATGTTAATTGTGTTTGTTTGCCTCCTAGCTCATGCTCTAATTTTGTGGGGGGAAGACTCACAACGTCTTACTCTCAAATGCCCCTTACTTTCAAATGGTTGGGCCAAAATTTAAAAAGGGTTGTAATCCATTGATCGTTACGAAGTTACTTCAGTGAGACTGAAACATATATTTAAAAAAGGAAAACACTTAAAAATGGTGTTAAAAAACAAAATTCAACCAAGTAAATGTGAAGATCTAATTGGCTTTATTCAATGATTTATGAACCAGGCAGCATCCCATCTAGTAAATAGAAAGGCACTCCTTCAGTGGTACAAAATGGAAAGCTTTTATAGAAATGGGGTGGGACAAAGAAGTTATGAGTAAAGGAAAAGAAAGGATTGTTTCAGGTAAGATTACCTCTCTAGTGCTGATAAGCAATTCCAGAAATTCTGTTCTTGAGACAGGCTGAAACTGCCATTAAGTCTTGGTTTGCTGTCCTGGGGGCTAGTGGCTCCACCTTGAGCCTGTTGTTTCTTTCTTCTCCTTCTTTTTTTAAAAAAACGATGGTTAAGATGGTAAATTTTGTTATGTGTATTTTACCATAACTTAAAAAAAAAAGAAAATATCAGAGCACATAGCTCTTGTAGAATAACAAATATTTCAAGAAATTTTTGTTTCAGTTATGTATGTGTGAGTACTTAGGTGTACTTGGTTTAAGGTACAATGTATTTCTTACTATCAGTCCCAGTCAAAATTAGAAAAAAATTGCTGTAGAGGAAGTTCTACACACACTCATCACCTGACATGTAAAAGACACTTCACAGCAGCATTGTTAGTGCAAAAGCTGGAAACAATCCAAATCTCCAGAGGACTAGAATGCATAAACGTGGTATATTAAACAATGGAATACTATACAACAGTGAATGAAAGAACTACACAGACCTGCTTTTCTGTGGATGCCAAAAGCAATGCTGAGAGAAGCAAAGTCCTGGAGAAAACAAACGATTCCACATACAAAGCTCAAAATCAAACAAAATAAGATCTGTTTAGTGATACATACACAGGTGATAAAACTACAGAGAAAAACAAACGGAGGTGAGATAAAATTCAGAAAAGTAATGATTAAAAACTTAAAATCATCAATCTGACTAAAGGTTTGGGGAACTGGAATGTTTCTCTGTATTTCCCAAATTAATTGCACTTGAACATAACCTCCATGTCTATTTCTTGATCTTACCCCCGTCCCAGCTCCTAGTGTAGAGGTTGGCACCTACTTATTTTATGTATTTTTAAAGAGCCGAGCCATCTGATAATTTGGTTTTCTGCATAATATATATATCCTAAATAGGATAACTTTCAAGGATAGCGCCTGGTAACAGCTCCGACAATAGCATTCATTAACTGTTTGCTGAATGAATACCTGTACTGTGGCATACGTTAGTTCATTTCCGTACTTCGCATCTTAGTCAAAATTCTTACTGTGGCTTCAGTTGACTGCCCGTTCCATCCCCTACCCCCTCTCACAGGCTTTAAGTCATCAGGCTCCAAAGTCATCAGGCTCCTGATTCGAAAGGCCCGGAAGCAGTTTTCTCCCTGTCTCTGCGCTGAGGAGGCTGAGAGGGAGAAGGTGGAACGTCTGGGTTAAGGCAAAAGTGCTTCCCAGGGACTCAGGGGTGTGGAGGCCACTGTCAAAGCTTACCTAAGAGTAAGGAGGCGGGCAGGGTTCGCCCTAGCGGTTCAAGTGAGGTACCGCGCGCACTCTTTAAAGTAGGGTCTGACCAAACTCACTAACACCGGTTCTCCGGTGACATCACCACCCCTCTGGACTCCTGATTGGAGGAGTTCATTGGCTCAATTCTCGCGATGATTCTCCCTCCAGGTCCTCTTCCTTCCCTCCCCTCGCCTCGACCCGGTAGTCGACTACAGACCACGCTGTGAGCCACGGAGACACTGTAGAACTAGACCAGCTTCCGGGACTCGTCCTGAGAGCTGCGACTCTTCTCGGACTCTCACGTGAAGGAGGTTTGGCTCCCAGGCGTCCTGCTTGTCCCATCCGCGGTAGCGTTCGACTCTCCACCACTCGGCTCGGCCACTTTGCTAGGGCCGCCAGGCGATATTCACCAATTCCCGTCCTTCAGTTACGCGAGAATTTGGCGGTCTTGAAACTGATTTCCGGTCGCTTAGGTCTCCATGGAGATAGCGCTTTAACCACTTTCGTTTTACCTGTTATTCCCCGGCCTCCACGTCGTTGGGAAATTGCCCAGATAATGTTTGTGGGAGTCAGCCAGAAAGTTGTAGATGGGAGTGAAGCAGCAATCAGAAGGGAAGCAGCCAGTGGGACCCAGGAGGAGTATAATTTACTGAGCATCTTCTGGCCACTTAAGCAGTACCTTAAGGTGGGCACGGGATTTTCCGCTATTGGGAGGCCCAGTTCTTCAGGACAAACGTTTAGGCATCCATTGAGCACGCATAAGCACCAGACCTCTTTGTGCAGTCTTGAGGGTTCCAGGATCAAATCCGGGGGCAGATTTGCTCACCATTCACCAGAGAATAGCCTCCCCAGTTGTCTCTCTCTATTCCTTCTAAGCTTTGTATATTGGTGACTTACCTAGGAAGTGATCCCCAGTGATATTCCCCTTGATCTAATCTTGTCACTTTTCAGATTCTTACCTTGTCAGTGCTTTTCTAACTGTGTCCATTTTTATTACCATTTTCTGTTAAGTGGATTTTCACATTTCATTGCTGTATTGACTTCTTACTTAGCAAAGGGACCAAAGGTTCTTCAGTGTCAGGACTAGCTTGTCATTTGGATATAGAATTTACTTAAGATGACACGTAGTCCACTTGCTGCTGTTAAAGGTATACATACCTTTTAGAACATCACTGACAAATGTTTTTTAAATAACTCATTTGTTTATTCATCAGATATTTATTAAGCACCTAATATGTACCAGGTACTGTTTTGGGAATTGAGAATTAAAACAGTGGACAAAACAGATTAAAGTTGCTGCCTTCATGGAATTTATTACTAGGGGAGACAGATAATATGCAAATAAACAAGTTCTTGTAACTTCAGGTAGTAGTAAGTACTATGAAGAAAATAAAGCAATAGAAATGGTCTGTATATGCGTAGGAGTGGTGGCATTTTAGATAGAGTGGTCATGGAAGGCTTCTTGGAGGAGGTAATATTTGAGAGGAGACCTGAATGATGAAGAGTTGGCCTTGCAAAGATTTGGTGGAATAAGCCTAACAGACAGAGGTATCAGGAAGTGCAAAGTCCCCTAGATGGTGAAGAGAAGATTAATTTGAGATGAACTGCAGGGGAAAGCATGGCCAGATTATTTAGGGCCTTGAAGGCCAAAGTCTCAAATTTGGATTTTATTCTAAGTGAAAATGAAAGCCCTTGGAAAGTTTTAAGAAAGAGAGTAATTAGATTTGAAAAAATTTGCTTTGATGACTGTGAAGAAAATGGACTCTTCAGAAGCAGAATGGAAGTTTGGAGACCAGTTGGGAGGTTACTGCAGGAGTACAGGTGGAAAGGGTTCATTCAATTTCTGTTTGGGTATTCCCAGCATTGGGAAACTCTCTTTTGAAAGGCAGCACATTTTATAGTTGAACCATAGCGTTCTTCCTTTGTATTGAGCTGGAACTGGCCTCCCTGAAGCTTGCACTGACATTTCCTAATTCTATAGACATCTACAAATTCTATAGCCATCTCAGATAGAAGACATCTGGGACTTCCTTGGTGGTCCAGTAGTTAGGACTTGGTGCTTTCACTCCGTGGCCCCGGGTTCAATCCCTGGTCAGAGAAAAGATCCTGCAAGCCGTGCAGTGCAGCCAAAAAAAAAAAAAAAAAAAAAAAGACAGAAGACATCTATTCCTCTTTCTCCAAAGCAGTCCTCCAACAACAGCAGCTCTTCTAAGGCACTTGTCCAGTCCTCTTTTCTCCAGGCCAAACACCTTTGGTTAACTGAACTGTTTTCTGAAAGGAGGTGCTCTCTTGGCCCTTCAGAAATCTGGCTGTTCCTTGGAAGCTCCATCATTTGCTATGGCTCCTTAAGATATGGCAACCAGCATAGCATCTAATGCTCCACATGTCACCTGACCTGTGAAGATGACCAAGGGATCAGGCATCCCCTTGGTCTAGCTGACTTCTAATGTGGTTTTTAACAGTCATGTTGTGCTATTGGCTCACATAATATTCAAACCACATATTGAGCTGTTTCAAATCACATATTTTCTCCCCCACCTCCCCATCCTGTATTTCTAGATTATATTTTTCTAATCCAAATGCAGCATTTTACATTTATTTCTGTTTCATCTTGGTAAATTTATTCCAGTTTATTGGTCTTTTTTTTTAATCCTAATTCCATCATCCAACATGTGCTCCCACCTTTGTGTCTTTTATAAATTCACTATGTTATGTCCTCTAATGTCTACATTATAAACACTGCTAAAAATGCTAACTGCACCAAGAAAAGAGCCCTGTGTGGCATTTCCCTAGTGGCTTGTCTTCAGAGCTCATGGTACTATTAGTGTGTATCCTCTGAGTACATTTGTTCAGCCCATTATGAACCCTGTTAGCTGAAACAAACTCCGTTAACTAAAAGCAAACTCACAAGGATAGTATGTGAAAGTTTCCTTTATTAAATATTTTGCAGAAATAAAGATATAGCATCTCATGATACCTCCTGATCTGTCAGTCTAAGAAGTCACGGAGGTTAGGTATGCGTAGTTTAGTTTTGAAAAACCATACTGGCTTCTTTGTTATTACTAAAATGAAGGTTTGCTGTATTTTAAAATATAAAGACTAGGTAGGTAAAAGTAACTTTAGACATTAATAAACTCTTCTTGAGTCTAAACAAGTTTTTCAAAGCAGAAATCCTTAGATCAGTAGTTCTCAGTCTGTGGCAACTTTGCTCCCCAGGGGACATTTGGCAATGACTAGAGACATTTTTTGGTTGTCACAACTTAGAGGAAAGAGGATGCTACTGACATCTAGTGGGTAGAGGCCAAGGATGTGTTAAATATCCTACAGTGTCCAGGACAACACTCTATAGCAAAGAATTATCTGGCCCAAAATGTCAGTGGTACTGAGGGCTTTAGTGCATTAGTGTCTTAAAACTCTTCTTTCTTGTAGTGACTACTGTTAATTCTATTTAAAATGGGTGTAAAGAAGAAGAAAGAAACTCAAGTTACTTCATTGACCGTTTGTCATCAGGACCTTGAAACTTTGAGATGTAAGTGATTTCTGACTTCATTTGTTGATCTCTTTTTTAGGTTGCAAACAGTATATTTATCTCTGGGACTCCATATCACATAATGTTCAAACTCTTGGTATTTAATTATTCCACGTTCTTTACATTCAGTTTTGGTTGTAAAATGGTTTTCTTAAACTTCTATCTTCAGACTAAGTTCTGCCAGGTTTTTTTTTGTTTGTTTATAAATATTTAAATTTTATAGAACACATGATGAAGGCAAACTCATATCCATATATTGTTAAATCACTGAAGAAATTTTTTTGTGTGTGTTATGTAGCTTTGGCTGATGTAGAAGGGAAGAATCTAGCTTCTTTGTTGTTACATTGTGTACAACTCACTGATGGAGTGTCACAGATCCATTATGTTAAACAGGTAAGGCTGATTTGATATTCATGAGTGCATCTTGAAGGTTATCATGCTATTATGGACTTTTAAAATTAACTGATAATTTTTGGTTCCCAATTATTTAATATAAATGTATCATTAAAGAATAAGGGATTGTTTTGTTTTTTCTATTCATTGTATGATATCTTTTTATTCAGAGTGGCAAAATAAGCCATACTTAGGCTTCCACCACTATTGGAGCTGTATATAGGTAGGATAATGAAATAATTGTGCATACCTTTTTATTTGTTTGTTTTTTGAATTTTATTTTATTAATTTTTTTATACAGCATGTCCTTATTAGTCATCCATTTTATACACATCAGTGTATACATGTCAATCCCAATCTCCCAATTCATCACACCACACCATCACCCCCTGCCACTTTCCCACGTTGGCATCCATACTTTTGTTCTCTACACCTGTGTCTCAATTTCTGTCCTGCAAACCGGTTCATCTGTACCATTTTTCTATGTTCCACATATACGCATTAATATACGATATTTGTTTTTCTCTTTTTGACTTACTTCACTCTGTATGACAGTCTCTAGATTCATCCATGTCTCTACAAATGACCCAATTTCGTTCCTTTTTGTGGCTGAGTGATATTCCATTGTATATATGTACCACATCTTCTTTATCCATTCGTCTGTCAATGGGCATTTAGGTTGCTTCGATGACCTGGCTATTGTAAATAGAGCTGCAGTGAACACTGGAGTGCATGTGTGTTTTTGAATTATGGTTTTCTCTGGGTATATGCCCAGTAGTGGGATTGCTGGGTCATATGGTAATTCTATTTTTCATTTTTTAAGGAACCTCCATACTGTTCTCCATAGTGGCTGTATCAGTTTACATTCCCACCAACAGTGCAAGAGGATTCGTTTTCTCCACAGCCTCTCTAGCATTTGTTGTTTGTAGATTTTCTGATGATGCCCATTCTAACTGGTGTGAGGTGATACCTCATTGTAGTTTTGATTTGCATTTCTCTAATAATTAGTGATGTTGAGCAGCTTTTCATGTGCTTCTTGGCCATCTGTATGTCTTCTATGGAGAAATGTCTATTTAGGTCTTCTGCCCATTTTTGGATTGGGTTGTTTGTTTCTTTAATATTGGGTTGCATGAGCTGTTTATATATTTTGGAGATTAATCCTTTGTCTGTTGATTCGTTTGCAAATATTTTCTTCCATTTTGAGGGTTGTCTTTTAGTCTCTTTTTTTTTTTGCGGTACACGGGCCTCTCACCGTTGTGGCCTCTCCCGTTGTGGAGCACAGGCTCCAGACGTGCAGGCTTAGCGGCCATGGCTCACGGGCCCAGCCGCTCTGCGGCATGTGGGATCTTCCCGGACCGGGGCACGAACCCGTGTCCCCTGCATCGGCAGGCGGACTCTCAACCACTGTGCCACCAGGGAAGCCCCGTCTTTTAGTCTCATTTATGGTTTCCTTTGCTGTGCAAAAGCTTTGAAGTTTCATTAGGTCCCATTTGTTTATTTTTGGTTTTATTTCCATTACTCTAGGAGGTGTATCAAAAAAGATCTTGCTGTGATTTATGTCAAAGAGTGTTCTGCCGATGTTTTCCTCTGAGAGTTTTATAGTGTCCGGTCTTACATTTAGGTCTGTAATCCATTTTGAGTTTATTTTTGTGTATGGTGTTAGGGAGTATCCTGATTTCATTCTTTTACATGTAGCTGTCCAGTTTTCCCAGCACCGCTTATTGAAGAGACTGTCTTTTCTCCATTGTATATCCTTGCCTCCTTTGTCATAGATTAGTTGACCATAGGTTTGTGGGTTTATCTCTGGGCTTTCTATCTTGTTCCATTGATCTGTGTTTCTGTTTTTGCACCAGTACCATACTCTCTTGATTACTGTAGCTTTGTAGTATAGTCTGAAGTCAGGGAGTCTGATTCCTCCAGCTCCGTTTTTTTCCCCTTAATACCGCTTTGGCTGTTCGGGGTCTTTTGTGTCTCCATACAAATTTTAAGATTTTTTTGTTCTAGTTCCGTAAAAAATGCCATTGGTAATTTGATAGGGATTGCATTGAATCTGTAGATTGCTTTGGGTAGTATAGTCATTTTCACAATATTGATTCTTCCAATCCAAGAACATGGTATATCTCTCCATCTGTTGGTATCATCTTTAATTTCTTTCATCAGTGTCATAGTTTTCTGCATACAGGTCTTTTGTCTCCCTAGGTTTGTCCCAAACCTGGGAATGTCCTATAAATATCAATTAAATCTATCTGGTCTATTGTGTCATTTAAAGCTTGTGTTTCCTTATTAATTTTCTGTTTGGATGATCTGTCCATTGGTGTAAGTGAGGTGTTAAAGTCCCCCACTATTATTGTGTCACTGTCGATTTCCTCTTTTATAGCTGTTAGCAGTTGCCTTATGTATTGAGGTGCTCCTGTGTTGGGTGCATATATATTTATAATTGTGATATCTTCTTCTTGGATTGATCCCTTGATCATTATGTAGTGCCCTTCCTTGTCTCTTGTAGCATTCTTTATTTTAAAGTCTATTTTATCTGATATGAGTATTGCTACTCCAGCTTTCTTTTGATTTCCATTTGCATGGACTATCTCTTTCCATCCCCTCCCTTTCAGTCTGTATGTGTCCCTAGGTCTGAAGTGCATCTCTTGTAGACAGCATATATATGGGTCTTGTTTTTGTATCCATTCAGCAAGCCTGTGTCTTTTGGTTGGAGCATTTAATCCATTCACAGTTAAGGTAATTATAGATATGTATGTTCCTATGATCATTTTCTTAATTGTTTTGAGCTTTTTTTAAAATTAATTAATTAATTTATGGCTGTGTTGGGTCTTCGTTTCTGTGTGAGGGCTTTCTCTAGTTGCGGCGAGCGAGGGCCACTCTTCATTGTGGTGTGCGGGCCTCTCACTATTGCGGCCTCTCTTGTTGCGGAGCACAGGCTCCAGACGCACAGGCTCAGTAATTGTGGCTCACGGGCTCAGTTGCTCCGCGGCATGTGGGATCCTCCCAGACCAGGGCTCGAACCCACGTCCCCTGTATCGGCAGGCAGATTCTCAACCACTGCGCCACCAGGGAAGCCCTGGGTTTGTTTTTGTAGGTCCTTTTCTTCTCTTGTGTTTCCCACCTAGAGAAGTTCCTTTAGCATTTGTTGTAGAGCTGGTTTGGTGGTGCTGAATTCTCTTAGCTTTTGCTTGTCTGTAAAGCTTCTGATTTCTCCATCGAATGAATGAGTTGCTTGCTGGGTAGAGTAATCTTGGGTGCACGTTCTTCCCTTTCATCACTTTAAGTATATCATGCCACTTCCTTCTGGCTTGTAGAGTTTCTGCTGAGAAATCAGCTGTTAACCTTATGGGAGTTCCCTTGTATGTTATTTGTCGTTTTTCGCTTGCTGCTTTCAATAATTTTTCTTTGTCTTTAATTTTTGCCAATTTGATTACTATGTGTCTCGGCGTGTTTCTCCTTGGGTTTATCCTGTATTGGACTCTGCACTTCCTGGACTTGGGTGGCTATTTCCTTTCCCATGTTAGGGAAGTTTTCGACTATAATCTCTTCACATATTTTCTCTGGTCCTTTCTCTCTTCTCCTTCTGGGACCCCTGTAATGTGAATGTTGTTGCATTTAACGTTATCCCAGAGGTCTCTTAGGCTGTCTTCATTTCTTTTCATTCTTTTTTCTTTATTCTGTTGTGCAGCAGTGAATTCCACCATTCTGTCTTCCAGGTCACTTATCTGTTCTTCTGCCTCAGTTATTCTGCTATTGATTCCTTCTGGTGTATTCTTCATTTCATTTATTGTATTGTTCATCTCTGTTTGTTTGTTCTTTAAGTCTTTTAGGTCTTTGTTAAACATTTCTTGTATCTTCTCGATCTTTGCCTCCATTCTTTTTCCGAGGTCCTGGATCTTCTTCACTGTCATTATTCCGAGTTCTTTTTCTGGAAGGTTGCCTATCTCTACTTCATTTAGTTGTTTTTCTGGGGTTTTATCTTGTTATTTCATCTGGTACATAGCCCTCTGCCTTTTCATCTTGTCTATCTTTCTATGAATGTGGTTTTTGTTCCACAGACTGCAGGATTGTAGTTCTTGCTTCTGCTGTCTGCCCTCTCTGTACATACCTTTTTTGTGGAGATAAGTTTAAAAAAAAAATTCTATTAATCTTAATCTTCAAAAATTTTTAGCAGGCACGTTAAAAAGTTAACTTAAAATGTAAAGACTGTCCTTACGAGCATTTCATTATTAGGATTTATCATTTTAAGTTGCATAATATTTTGGGGGGAAGCAATTAAATGTATTATTGGTTTTCAGTAGTGCTACAGAATTCCTGTACCTTAAGCCATTAACAAGTCTACTCATTGAAGGTGGGTCTGGAGGGTAAAGTGGGAGTTGGGGGCATGGTTTAAATATTTAATAAATACTGAAATAGTTTTAAATTAAATTAAATAGTGTTTAAATTAGTACCCTTAACAGTATAGAGTGGAAAATATTACACATTAAAGGTGAGACTTAAAAAAGTATTTGAATCTATGTTACTTTACTATTCTTGATATTAGAAAAATATTACTATGGCTTTGAATTCTTTGGATTATAGATTGTGCCCTTACTGGAGAAGGCAAATAAAAATGGCAAGTGTGATCCCACTATTCGAAGTTGTTTGGATATTTTAGCAGGCATTTATCTTTCTTTGAATCTAAAGAATCCCTTGAAGAAAGTCTTGGCAAGGTAAGGAAAAAAAGAAAAGTTAGACGTTGTAAATGTTTAATTTGACCAAAAGTAACCAGTGTTTAAGGTTCCCTCTATGGTTTGGTAAAACTGAACTGAAATGTATCACTTAGCAATTTCATTCATACAATTTCTTCTTTGTTTTGTTTATTTACTTATTTATTTATCGTAACTCTTTAAAAATGTAAAAAAGCTTGTTAGGTCACAGACGTTAAAAAAATAGGCTGTAGGCTGTATTTTACAGACTCCTGGTTCAGTCCATTTGCATGTAATGCAATTATTGGTTAAGTTTAAATCTGTCATCCTGCTGTTTTTTCTGTGTCCCATCTCTTCTTGGTCTAAACAGATGTTTAAAGCATATATTCCTAAGCATACATTAGGAATATATTACCATATTACCTATATTACACAGGTAATACAGGAATATATGCTTAGTGTAGAAAGTTTAAGCAGTATAGAAGTACACAAAATAAAAAGTGAGCCTTCCTTTTCACTATTTCTGGCTTATCTTTTCTTAGTAAAGGTTATCACTTGACATTTTGGTGTTTCTAGACCTTTCCTTTGGGTTTAGTGTGTGTGTGTGTTATACTTTAGTTTTTATTTTTTATGTAAATGGGGTTATACTCTACATATTTCTCTGTAGGTTGTTTTTCACTAAGGATTGTCTTAGAGATATTTTCAGGTCAGTATAGTCCTTCTTTTTTTTTAAATTGTGGCTAAAAAAACCCCACATCACATAAAATTTACCATCTTAACCATTTTTGAGTGTACAGTTCAGTAGTGTTAAGTGTATTCACATTGTTGTGCTGTGGATCTCTAGAACTTCTCCATCTTACAAAACTGAAACTCTATACCCATTAAACAACTACTCCCTATTTCCTCCTCCCCCTAGCCCTTGGCAACCACCATTCTGCTTTCTTTTTCTATGATTTTGATTACTTTAGATACCTTGTATAAGTAAAACATTTGTATTTATCTTTCTGTGACTGACTTATGTCCTCAAGGTTCATCCATGTTGTAGCATGTGATAGGATTTCCTTCCTTTTTAAGGCTGATTAATACTCTATTGTATGTATATAGCACATTGTGTTCATCCATTAGTCTGTTGATAGACATTTGGGTTGCTTCCTCTTTTTGGCTATTGTGAATAATGGACATGGTTGTGCAAATATCTCTTTGAGATCCTGCTTTCAGTTCTTTAGGGTATATAGCAATCCCCCGCAAGTGGGATTGCTGGATCATATGGTAATTTTATTTTTAATTTTCTGAGGAACTTCCGAACAATTTTCCATATGGCTGCACCATTTTACATTTCCACCGAAAGTCCTCATTCTTTCTAACAGCTAGATATTCCATAATATGGATGTACCGAAATTTATATGTGCCGTATTACATATTATTTAATCACTTCTCCATTGATAGTTTGTTTTCAAGTTTTCATTATTCCAGCAATGCTACAGTGATATTCTTAATTATGTATATAATATTATATGTGTATTTCTCTGAAATGAATTCCTAGAAGAGGAATTTCTTGACCAAACTTACACCTATCAAAATTTTTGATAGATATTGCTAAATCGTAATCCTCAACACGATACCATGTTATACTCCTTCTAACAAGTGAATAAGAGTGCCTTTTTCTTCATATCTTTCCAACACTGAATAAAATCAATCTTTAAATCTTTTAAAATTTGGTAGGTGAAAAATGGTGTTATGTTATAATTTGCATTTGCCAGGTTACTAGTGAGAGTGAATTTTTTTTATTTGTTTTAAATTTATTTATTTATTTATTTTTGGCTGCATTGGGTCTTCGTTGCTGCCCGCGGGCTTTCTCTAGTTGTGGCAAGTGAGAGCTACTCTTCGTTGCAGTGTGTGGGCTTCTCATTGTGGTGGCTTCTCTTGTGGAGCATGGACTCTAGGCACGCAGGCTTCAGTAGTTGTGATATGCGGGCTCAGTAGTTGTGGCTCGCAGGCTCTAGAGCGCAGGCTTAGTAGTTGTGGCACATGGGCTCTAGAGCGCAGGCTCAGTAGTTGTGGCACATGGGCTTAGTTGCTCTGTGGCATGTGGGATCTTCCCAGACCAGGGCTTGAACCCATGTCCCCTGCATTGGCAGGCGGATTCTTAACCACTGAGCCACCAGGGAAGTCCCCAAGAGTCAATATTTTTTAACGTGTGGATTTTGACTATTTTACTTTTTTTTGGTGATTACATATCTTAGTATGTTTTCTTGTTAGGATATCTTTTTTTTTTTCTTTAAGCAAGTGTATTTATTGTGTTATAAAGCAAATGATCAAATACTGGCCAGTTATAGGATTTCGGTGAAGTAGTCGACAAATGTCATTGAATATCCTGATGTTTTCCATCTTTTTCTCATTGTTTTGGCCCTATCTTCCCTCAGAGTTACAAGGGGCTAAAGCAGTTACAAGCACCTTATATAGACTTTACTGCAATTGGCAAAAAGAAAAAAAAAGGAAATTTCCTCCTCCGCATTTCTTTTTATTGGAGAGAAAAAACATTTTGTGGAAGGTCCCACTAGACTTTTCATTGAAGGTCCTGTCGATATTCATTGTCAAGATTGGGTCATATACCTTCTCTCTCCCTCGTTGTAAAAAATGGTTAGGAAGCAAAGGTGTCACACCTTTAGCCCTTTAGTGGAAGGTGAGCTTTGCCAGCAAAGAAGGGTGTGGAGAATGCCTGCAGGAAGGCAGCCAACTGTAAAATGTCTTTATTTATAAGAGACCTATACAGATTACGTGCCAAATATATTCCTTTATTTTGTTACTTGTCTTTAAACTTTCTTCCTGGTGTTTGCTTTATAAAAATTAAAAAAAAATTTTCATACTCAAACCTGCAAATATTTTCCTTTGTATAGATTTCTGAGTTTCAGCTTGTATATGCTTTCTCTAATACAAGATTATATAAAATTACTTATCTGAAAATACTCTTTTTGTTTGTTTAACTTTTAAATCTATCTGGTATTAAGTTTTGAGTGTAGTGTGAGATAGAGATCCAACTTAGTTTTCTTTTCTGTATGGGGAGCCACTTATCCCCAAACTGTTGAATAGTCCATTATTCACCACATATTTGAAATGCCATATTATTATGTTCTATGGTCTTGTATAAGCAAAGGTTTGATTTTAGACTTGGGTCTATTTGTTTACCCACCAACATCACACTTTTATTCACTATAGTTTGATACTATGGTTTAATTATATACTAGAACAAGTCATCTCTGTAGTGACTCTTGTTTTTCAGAATATTCTATTTTCAAATTTTTTTTTCCTTCCAGAAAAGCTTTAGAACTGTTGAGTCAAATTTTAAAAAAAATGTTAATTTAGATTAACTGTGGTAAATTGGCATTAAATTTAATTTACCCATTCAGTAAATTTTTATTGATTATCTACTATGTGTCAAGTATTCTTCTAGGCATTGGGGAAACAGTGAATAGAACAGTCCAGAACAGAGGTTACTTCTAAGAGGAAGACAGAAGATAGATAAATAAGCAAAATATATAGGAATTAGAGGGCATGAGTGCTATGGAGAAAAAAAAATAAAGCAGAGAATTGGGAAAGGGAGTACCAAGGATGGGGTGAGGGTTACAGTTTAAAATATAGTAGTGACTTCATACATCTTTGCTTAGTGTCATTGATAGGGTGATGTTTGAGATTGACCTGAAAGGGGCGAGGAAATGATTATTGGGTATATTTGAGGGAAGAGAGTTCCAGGTAGAGGAAATAACAAGTACAAAGACTTTGGCATGTTGTTGGAATGGAGGAAGGCTGTGTAGCTAGAGTGAAGTGAACAAGGATCAAGATGAGGCAGAGAGATAATGGTGGGCCCAGATTGTGTAGGGTCTCATAAGTCAATGTAATCTCTTTGGCTACTGCTTTGACTGAGAAGAACATTGTTGGATGGTTTTACGCAGAGGAGTAACATGTTATCTTAGTAATATCACTCTGGCTGCTCTGTTGAGGATAGTCTGCAGAATGGGAGGGAATTAATATGGAAGCAGGGAGACCAGATGAGAGGGAGTTCCTGATCTGTCTTCTAGTGGTGTAATGTTATAATTTCCTGGCTGTATTTTGAAGGTGTCATTCAATATTTCTTCATTTATAATATTCCCCTCCCTCCCTACATATCCTTGTACATACTCTAAGGTTGTCAGATTTTTAATATTTGGTTCTTTTTCTAGCTCACTAAATGACCTACCTGAATTTTTTCTAACTGAGGCTACACAGAGTTTTACTTCTCGTCTTCAGGAAGAATTGAATACTACTACTGATCTATACTCTTATAGGAAAGTTATTGACAATATATCTTCCTGTATGGAGAACTTTGACTTGGGTAAGCCAACTCTTTTCTAGTACTTTTTCTGGCTAACACCTGTCGTTACATCAGTGTTTTAAATGATGTTAATTTTGGTTCTGAAACTGCTTACCAGTGTTAATTTTCCCCCCACAGGTAGATCAAGTGTTAATAATCTTCTTGAAAATGGTAAGTCCTATTATTTATTTTATTCTGAGAGGTGACTGCTTGTGTAAGTCATTTTGGAACTGGTTCTTTTAAGTTTCTTGGCAACGGGTGGAGTACTGCAGATGACTAACGTACATGGTGTGCCTTCCTTTTAAATTTCTACTTCTGTGATATCATTTTGGGTAGCAGTGATTTAAAATATTTTCTTGTGCTGAAGTCAAAGTTCACAGTTTAAAATTTTTCATTATATTCTTTTTGTTTCAGTGCTTCATTATCTACAGAAGAGTTTAATTGAAATCTCAGAAGAAAACAGGCAAGTGTTAACATGTTTCCATGCTTGTTTATGTGTGTGTGTACATTTGCAGTTGTGCATTGTGTTTGTACAAAGGAAATTGTATTGCTTGCTTTTTTTTTATTTGGCTGCGCCATGCACCTTGCGGGATCTTAGTTCCCCAACCAGGGATTGAACCCATGCCCCCTGCAGTGGAAGCACAGTCTTAACCACTGGACTGCCAGGGAAGTCCCCACAAAGGAAATTTTTAAGAAGGGTCCAGAATGTGCTCCTTTCCATCCCTCTCCATTAATATTAGATGTAATTATTTAAATTTATTTTCTTGAGGTTTAATATTTAATTTTAAAAGATCAAATAAATTATTATGAGAATAAATGAGAAAGGGAAGAGCTTTTTCCTGTACTGGAGTGTTCCTTTTTCATAGCATCCTGTTTTTATTTTGTGGATGAAATATGCTCTGTTATCTCTCTGAGGATATTAATAGTAAGGTTTTTTTTTTAAGTTTTCTTATCTTTACATGGGTCTCTATTTCTTCCAACCTGCTTTTTTTCTGTTTGCTGGTTTTGGTCACTGTATTTGTTGCTAGAAGCTTTCCTTGGAAGTCTGGTGATCCTTGGCTGAGCACTTATTTAAGATTGGAGCACTGAGAGTTGACTTGGATCTCTGTACGTATGGTTGGGGTTGATTGCAGGCTTTATTGTAGGCTAGTCTAGCTGGGCTGTTTCTTTGGGGGAACGCTTGATGCCAGTATCTTTAGGCCTTTTTGCATGGGTAGTAGATTTGCCATGGAAGAATCTTTCAAACCATTGGCTTAATATTCTGGTTGCTGAGTGAGGGAAGAAAGCTGAGATCTTGGCATTTAGCATTTATTGTGCATATATTTTCCTAATTCTCCTGTTTGCAATATGGTATCATTGCTTTGTGTGTGTGTGTTGTCTTCCTGTCCAGACACTTACTTTTTACCTTCTCTGGAGGTAAAACAGTTGTTTACTAGCTTGGAGGTATGATCCACAGTTGTCATTCTCAGAGCATAGCCACTCTTCCTGTTTTCATACCTACATTTAGCTCCACATCAAGGAGCAACTGGTGCCAACAATTTCTTAGTCTTTGGGGGCTGCAAATCGGGTTGCTCTGGGCTTGTTCTCTGACTTAGGATTCACCTTTCTTGATTCTGCTAAGTCAGTTATCACTTATCCATCTGCTCCTAAAATTTTAGTATTATTGTCTTTTGTTGCCCTAGTGTATTTATGTCTTTTTACGTTTTAAATCCCTTGGTTGTTGGTTTAGGGAGGTTCTGGGGGAGAGTAGAAGTAATATCTTTGTGCCATCATTAACCCAAGTCTCCTTTTACCTTACCAGGAGCTCCTTCTCTGTTTCCTTCTAGGCTCTTCTTCCTCTGCTCATCTCTTAAATATGAGTTCTGTCCTTTTCATTCTGTTTGTTCTGACTGCTTTATATCATCCACTTCTTTGGTGTCAGCTACCATCTTTATACTTAGGATTCCCAGGCATCACTCCAAGTTAGATCTTTTCCTTGAGTGGTAGACTCATGTAGCGGTTGTCTCCTGGTTGTTTTACAGGGTGCCTCAAATTCAATGCATCCAAAAGAAAATTCACTGTCCTTTTATATATTGTTGTTTTACCCACAACCCCTGGTAACCTCTATTCTACTTTATGTCTCTTTGAATTTGCATGTTCTAGATAAACTCAAATAAGTGGAATACAATGTTTGTCCTTTTGTGTCTGTATTATTTTACTTATAATGTTTTAAGGGTTAATCTATGTTGTAGCATGTGTCAGTTTCACTCCTTTTAATGGCAGAATATTCCATTTTATATATAGGCCACATTCTGTTTATCCATTCATCTGTTGATGGACATTTGGGTTGTTTCTGCCTTTTGGCTAATGTGAATAATGCTGCCATAAACATTGGTATACCAGTATCTGCTTGAGTCTCTACTGTCAGTTCCTTTGGGTATATACTTAGGAGTAGAATTGCTGGATCATATAGTAATTCTATGTTTAACTTTTTGAGGAGCGAGCCCCCAAACTGTCTTCCCTGACTTTTGTTTTAATATTATCATTGCTCTTGTGTTCTGCTATGTTGAGAATAGACTGAGAAGAGCAAGGATAGAAGCTGGGAGGAGGCTATTGCAGTAATAGTAATGCAAGGGAGAGATGAGAGTGGCTCAGGCCAGGAGTAGCAGTGGAGGTGGTCTGATTCTAGATACATTTTGAAGGTAGAACCAACAGGATTTTCTTACAGATGGGACGAGTGAGAGAAGAGTCAAGGATGACTGCCAAGTTTTTGTAGGATAGAGATTCTAGCAGGTGGAGCTGGTGTGGAGTTGTGGATAAGTTCACGTAGTTTGAGATGTCTGTCAGACATCCAGGTGAAGATGTCGAGTAGGAAGTTGCACACACAAGCCTGGAATTGGAAAAAGAAGTCTGGGCTGGAGATGAAAATTGGGGAGTTGTCAGCATATAGACTATAATTTTAAGCTTATGAGCTAGATGAGCTCAGCATCAAGGGAATGAATTAGGTGGACAGAAGAAGTAAAGACTGGGTTGCGGTGAGCTCACGTAAAGACATAAGGGAGAAGAAGATGAACTAGCCAAGGTGTCTGAGAAGGCTCAACAATAGTGAAGTAGGAGAAAAACCTAAGGGCGCCTAGCATCTTGGAAGCCGGATCAAGGAAGTTACAAGGTTAGGGAGTGTTCAGATTTAGAAATTATGTCATTTATTCTTTTTTCTTTTTAATTGAAGTATAGTTGATTTACAACGTTGTGTTAATTACTGCTGCACAGCCAGGTGACTCAGTTATACCTATATATATACACATTCTTTTTCATATTCTTTTCTATTATGGTTTATCATAGGATATCGAATATAGTTCCCTGTGCTATACAGTAGGACCTGTTGTTTATCCCTTCTGTGTATACCAGTTTGTATCTGCTAATGCCAAACTCCCAATCCATCCCGCCTCCACTCCCCGTCCCCGCTTGGCAGCCACCAATCTTTTCTCTATGTCCGTGATTCTGTTTCTGTTTCATGGATACGTTCATTCATGTCATATTTTAGATTCTACATGTAAGTGATAGCATATGTATTTGTCTTTCTCTTTCTGACTTACTTCACTTAGTATGATAATCTCTAGTTGCATCCATGTTGCTGCAAATGGCATTTTGTTCTTTTTTTATGGCTGAGTAGTAGTCCTTTATATATATATGTACCACATGTTCTTTATCCATTCATCTGTCGGTGGACATTTAGGATGTTTTCATGTCTTGGCTATTGTGAGTAGTGCTGCAATGAACATATGGGTGCATGTATCTTTTTGAATTATAGTTTTGTCTGGATAAATGCCCAGGAGTGGGATTGCTGGATCATATGGTAATTCTATTTTTAGTTTGCTTGGGAAACTCCATACTGTTTTCCACAGTGACTGTACCATTTATTCCTGATTCGTTATTTTTACTCTAAAAAGAAGAAGTGAGGTTAGTCATTAGCTGAGAAAATGGGAAAATTTTGAGGTGAGTTAAGAGTGTTGGAAGTTTGCAATAAATGTCTGCATAACTGGAATATTTATGGGAATGGAAGAGAGAGGCATAAATGTTGATTATAATCTAAAATTGATTTTGGCCCTTTGATTGAGGGATTATTTTGGAGAGAGATAGAAAAGGTGACATTTTAATTTGACTTTTCTTTTGTAATAATTTCTTTTCTTTGTTGTAGAAAATTGGCTGGAAATCATATTGTTCAAACTCAGTTGATGAATGACTTGTTGGTAGGCATTAGAGTTTCAGTGATGTTAGTACAGAAAGTACAAGGTTTCCAGAGACTTCATTTGAAGAGTTCTCCTACATGGCAAAGTATGTGTGGATTGCTGAGTATCTTTACCAAGTTTTTAAGTGATGGTAAGTATAAGACATACAAATGATGGTTACAATTGAGTGTCAATCACTTTGCTACTAATGGTATGAAATATTTGATACTTAACTGAAATATAGAACTTCCTCTCCCCCAGCCCCTCAAAGTGGCGAAAGGTTCTGGATTACAGTTCAACAAGGGATAACATTGAAGGACTGTTCTAAATGTGTGTATGTGTGTGTGCATGTATGTATTGTATACAAAGAAGAAAACCCAACAATCTTAGGGTTGAAAAGCCACAGACTTTAAAAAGCAAAAGAAAGTTCTTGAGAAATTTCCAAATTTGGAGGTACGATCTGGAAAGATTAGTGTAACCCATGCATTTCTCCTTAGCAGCAGGTGTTACCTTCAGATAATGACGGTGGTCATTGTGGGGCTGGTCATTATTCCTCCTTATATCTCATGTTGCTTCTATCCATATGAACTGTACCACCACGAAACCAAGTAGGTAATGAGAGGAAGTGCTGCCAAAAAGTGTAAAAATACAGTAGGAGTGGCAGTACAGCACCAAGTAGTCTCTCCTAATTTATTTCTTTTACATCTTTCTACATTTTCATACATGCATTGAAAAACTTCACAATGCACAAAATTAGAGGGTTCTGCAAAGTCTTCTGCTGGTGGTGGTTGCTCTTTGTTCCCCTGGATGTAAGGTTTACTTTGTAAACAGACAAATGTGAGGCAATCTACAGGCTTATCAAGGAGAGGAAGTGTCTTATATAAAAGTGTTTCAACTAAGGAGTTAAAATGAAATGCTAGAATTAGAATATCACCATTTTGTTACCCCCAGTGACTTGAGGTAGGCATTAGGCAACAACAACTGCTAACATTACAGAAACAGACAACCAGACAACATGTGCCTCTTACTTTTGAGTCTTGCTTTTACCACTTGTAGTCTTCCCAGAGGAACTGAACTTGAGACTGACCCCGTGTCTAGGCCACCTGCCATTTTGCAGGAATTACAGAGGACAGAAGAAAGTGTTGAACCACACTAGGAGTAAACATCCAGATCATGGGAAACTCTGCAGGTTAAAAGGACAGAGTTCTTCAACAGAAATTATAATAAAAAGGACGGAAGGGGCACCTGTAGATTAAAGGACATATCAAAAAAATTTTAAATGGGCGAGACTATAGTGTCTAGGGATGCACATTTGATTAATGAAACTATTTAAAAATAATAAGGCAGTCATTACTGTGAAAGTCAGGATAATGCTTACTCAGGGTGAGAGAGGAGCTTGTGATTGGAGTGAGGCATGTGGATGAGCCCTCTGGGCTGGGTGGCCAAGCTCTATTTCTTGCCTTGGATGGTGGGTACAAGGGTGTTAACCTTCTAATAATTCATTAAGCTATACATTTGCTTTGGATGTTTTCTGTATCTGTGTTTTATATTACAATAAGATTAGCAAAAATGTTATGCTAAACATATAAGTATCTACATAAAAAGCTGTATTACCTTTTCACCCTTTACCTCCTATTCTATATGGTAATGTATGTATTAATATTAACTTAATTAAAAAAACATTAATAGGATCTGTTCAGAGCTCTTGCTTGTAAAAAAACAGTAACTGACTCTGATTTTGCTAGGCTGAAGGGAAAAAAATAGTATCTTATTGTTTATATGTTCTTAACCCTGGTAACTAGTGAGAGTCCTAACTATATTGTCTCATTAGTATTTCTTTTCTTTCCTCTCTTTTCCTTCCTTCCTTCCTTCCTTCCTGCCTTCCTGCCTTCCTGCCTTCTTTCCTTTCTCTCTCTCTCTGTCTCCCCCTCTCTTCATTCCTTCTTTCCTGCCTTCCTTCCTTTGCCTAGGATCTCAGATAAGTATTAAAAGGAAAATAAAGTTCCTTTTATTAAGGCATAATTTACAGACATGTTTGCAGAGGATATTTACATTTTAAAAGAGGAATTTATAAATCTAAAAAAAAAAGACTTCAGTGAAATGCAGAGAAGACATGAATTTAATGTGAGGCAACCTCATTTCTGAAAAGTTGATGGCCCCTAATCAATGCTGTTCTTCCCTAGGATTTTAAAGCTTCATGTATCAGTAAAGTGCTTAGCTGTAAGTAACAGAAAGCTGAACTTCAGGGATTTAATTAAATGTGCCTCCCCACATAAGGATAAATTCAGAGGCAGGTGATCCAGAACTACTGTAGGCAGTCTGGGACCCAAACATTTCTGCTTTTCTGCTTTGCCGTCTTCAGCATGTTGGCTTTCATCCATATGTTTGTTGTTTAGTGGTTACTATATGACTGCTCTGTCTCCAGACCCCCTGTCTGTGTTCAGGGCAGGAAGGAAGACCAGTTGCATCTTTACCTTTAATCTGGAAGAACAAAAATAGCCAAAAGATTTCTGCTTACATCCCATCGGCCTGAATCCTCATATGGTACCTTTAGTTGCAAGGAAGATTGAGGAAACAGGTATCGTGTCTTTGGCTGGGCACGTGGATCTCCCAGAGTCACAGTTCGTTAACAGGGATAAAGCGCAGAATAGATTTTTGGAAGATAGCTTATAGTAGGTATTCATAATTCTTACCCCAAAGTGAATAATTCACTGTATTATTTTGTTTACTTTCTCACAAACCAGAGGCTAATAGAAAACAAAAAGAAGATAGTAAGCCAGGATTGTTTGGTTACATTGGGTACAGTGCCAGTGAGAGCAAAGTTTGTAATTAGCACTGATGTGGGCTCTTTACACAAGCCCTGAAGTCACTTTAAGAAAAAGTAATGTATCATGGGGATTGGGATGCAGAGGCATCAGTGGAAGGGAGGGAATAGGAGGTATTGCTGCTAGATGTGCTGGGAGGGAGTAGATGGAGAGGAAGAGAGAGTGGATGTTAGAGGAGAAAGGAAGGAATTACATTGATTATTTGTGTGCTGGGCATAAAAGCCTTTATGTTCATTTATTTCAACCTTACAACAACTGTGTCAGGTAGGAGTTATATTTTTCCCATTTTACAGAAGAGAAAGCTGAATCCCTGGGAAGTTAAATAACTTAATAAAGGCCTATCCACCTAGGAAGTGGTCAAGCTAGAAATTGCACCCAGGACTGTCTGACCCCACGACATCTGCTCTTTCTACTCTACCACAGTATCCATCATCATTTAAAACATGCTTTCTACTTTTTTACCAAATAGATGACCTCTTACAGACGATTCAGAGTACATCTGGATTAGCTGTTATTCTTTTTATTAAGGCTATGTTTCATCCACCTGAAAAGATTCCTGATTTGGTAAGTCCATCTCCTTTTTAGAATTGTACTTTATTGATAGTTAGACACGTTTTTCTTTTTTTTTCTTACGGTACGCAGGCCTCTCACTATTGCGGCCTCTCCCATTGAGGAGCACAGGCTCCAGACGCGCAGGCTCAGCAGGCATGGCTCACAGGCCCAGCCGCTCCGCGGCACGTGGGATCTTCCCGGACCGGGGCACGAACCTGTGTCCCCTGCATCGGCAGGTGGACTCTCAGCCACTGCGCCACCAGGGAAGCCCAGACACATTTTTCTTTTTAAGATTTTTTAGATGTGGACCATTTTTTAAAGTCTTTATTGAATTTGCCACAATACTGCTTCTGTTCTATGTTTTTTTGGTTTTTTGGCCTCGAGACATGCAGATCCCAGCTCCCAACCAGGGATCAAACCCATACCCCCTGCATTGGAAGGCAACGTCTCAACCACTGGACCACCAGGGAAGTCCCAACACATGTTTTAAAAAATATTTTTAGGGACTTCCTGGTGGCGCAGTGGTTAAGAATCCGCCTGCCAATGCAGGGGGCACGGGTTCGATCCCTGGTTCGGGAAGATCCCACATGCTGTGGAGCAACTAAGCCGTCCGCCAGAGCCTGCAAGCCACAATTACTGAGCCCTCATGCCACAACTACTGAAGCCCATGCGTCTAGAGCCCATTCTGTGCAACAAGAGAAGCCACTGTAATGAGAAGACTGCGTACCACAGCGAACAGTAGGCCCCGCTCGTCGCAACTAGAGAAAGCCTGCACGCAGCAACGAAGACCCAACGCAACCAAAAATAAATAAATTAATTAGAAAAAATTTTTTTAAAGAAGTGAATTTAAAAAAGTTTTTTGCATAGTCAGAATCTTTCTGGTAAGAAAGATTTTTTCCCTTATAATAAGTGACTTCCAAAAATTTGGATAAAGCAGAAAGAAGACAATAATAGTCACCTGTAAATCTGTCTCATAAAGATAATCATTATCAACATTTTGGGTTGTATATCCTTGTTTTTTTCTAGTGTTTTTTGTTCAGTTCCATCTCTCAGGATCGTAAAAGATATTTGTGTTATTAAAATTAGAGATTAATGTATAGATATATACAGTAATAACTTTTTGATAAATGTTATTTTTATTAAGAATAACCCAAATATTGTACTAGAATCAATTGTTCAGGGAATTTGATTGTATGAAAGGTGTAAGTTGATAATACAGTTCTTGTATTCAGTACTAGCAGTTTTTTTGTTCCTTACTGTTTTATCTAGGAACTTATTTTAGTTCTTTACTAAGAGCAAAATGGCTTTATACAAAACAGATGTATACTGTTTTATGAGCTCACACAAAGTAATTATCATTGGATAAAGTTAAAAATTTTAATTTCTCAAATCACTTCTAAAAAAGCATTAGTTAATAATCTCATCCACCTGCAGGTGGCAATGTGTTGTGCTCTCCCAGTACATTCAAACCAGCAAAATGGTTCATGTATTTAGATTCAATTTTTTTCCTCTTTGATATAATAATTTTAACACTTGTGGGTTTTTCACCTTTAGATTCAGTGTTTTTCCTAGGACATTTCAGGGGAAAGAGAATTTTGGATTTATATTTTGGGATATCTGGAAAGTTTTAGAGGCTCTATGTGTATCAGCTCTGTCATGTTTTTCCAGATTAGTAGTTTGCTTCTCCGTTCAGTGGACCACACCAGCATCCCCGAGTGGCTTTTGAACTGCTGCAGGAGCCTTTGTTGTGCTGATGTCTCCCAGTCAGCTCTCTTATTCCTGTGTCAGGGGACACTCACCATGTTGGATTGGCAGGATGGGAGGATGGGCCCCAGTGGGGAGGCCCTGCTCTTGGATACTGTGCGTGTTCTGTTCACCTTGAGTTCACAGTGAGTTTTGTCTCATATTTTGCTTTGCTTGTCAGACATTTAAAAGATGGCAGCTGAGCTGGCTTACTTAGTAATTCAATGAAAAGTGGTCAGGATAGGGCTTCCCTGGTGGCGCAGTGGTTGGGAGTCCGCCTGCCGATGCAGGGGACACGGGTTCGTGCCCCGGTCCGGGAATATCCCACATGCCGCAGAGCGGCTGGGCCCGTGAGCCGTGGCCGCTGAGCCTGCGCGTCCAGAGCCTGTGCTCCGCAATGGGAGAGGCCACAACAGTGAGAGGCCCGCATACCACAAAAAAAAAAAAAAAAAAAAAGTGGTCAGGATAATCTTAAATTAGAAGGGAGCTATGTGTAGGGAATGAAGTGGGTATGAAAGTAGAACAGGAGAAGATGGGATGATGAGAGAGAGAGAGAGAAATTATTGGTGCAGGTTAACCTGTAGCGAACACTTGTAAAATTAATTTTAACATTCAGTCTTGCATTAGATAATGCAAGCATTAAAAAAAAATTATAAACACTTCTATACATATAATGCTTTAGAGTTTACGAATAACTTAAGCATAGGTAGTTCAGTGTGATCCTCATATGTCTGATAGATAGGATAGGAAATCTAATCTGTTGAATGGGTAAAGTGAAGCTTAGAAAAGTAAATGCTTACCTAATAGCATATTGCTTTTAAGCACCTAAGCCAGAAATGTAATGAGGTCTTCTGACTTCACTGGATTGTATTTTGTGTTTTTTTGATATAAGTTGTGCATATTTTAAAGTAATTTAAAAATTATTCTTCATACAGTTTATTGAGATATAATTTACATACCATATAATTCACCTATTTAAAGCATGTAGTTCAATTTTTTTTTTGGTATGTATATTTACAGGGTTGTGCAGCTGTCACCACAGTCAACTTTAGAATATTTTCATTACCCCAGAAAGAAGCCCCATTCCCACTAATATTCCCTAGCCCCTCAGTATATTTTAAAACACCTGTGAAAGATGCATCTCAGTCAAAATAATGAACATTTCCATCACCTGCAAAAGTTTCCCTGTGTTTTTTTATGGATTAGTTTTTACGAAATGGAAAGATTCATATGCAAATTTGAGATCTGTTTTGGCTTTGTAATTTTTTGTTGTAAATTTAATAATGATTCAATTTTCTGATCATTCTTTATATTTTGTATTGATATTTTTAAAGTCTGAGTGATTATAAAATGAAATTCCTTTTACTAGTCAGTATAAAATAATATGACTCATTTTTCTTCAGGATCAAGGAGTCAACTCTGGAAATGTTTCTGTCTAGAATTTTGGCATCTTGGACTAATTCAGCTATACAAGTCCTTGAATCAAGTTCCCCAAGCCTAAAGGACCGTCTGAATGGGAATTCAGACGTGGTTAGGAGACTTTTGGAATATGTCTATACCCACTGGGAACATCCATTGGATGCTTTGAGACACCAAACCAAAACCATATTCAGAAATATTCTCCAAATGCACCAGCTTGCCCTGGAAGAGTCAGGTTCAGATTTGGCTGCTGATGGTTTCATTTTTCAACTGACTGAGAGTCTTCTGCGATTGGAATGGCATAGTAAAGGAAAGTACACATGCCTTGGTTGTTTAGTAGATTACATAGGAATTGAACATATTTTGGCATTAGCTAAAACTATTCCATCGCAAATCTTAGAGGTGATGGGGGACCAGTCCTTGGTGCCTTATGCAAGTGACCTCTTGGAAACCATGTTTAAAAGTCATAAGAGTTGTTTGAAATCCCAGGCTGTTGACAGCACTTGGATTGACAAGTGGCATGAGACTTGGGTTTCTCCTCTCCTGTTTATACTGTGTGAAGGAAATCTGGATCAAAAATCTTACGTGATTGATTATTACTTGCCAAAATTATTGAATTGCAACCCTGAAAGCTTAAGCTACATGGTAGAGATTCTTCAGACTTCTGCTGATGCTAAAATTGGTAAGAAAATGAATTTTTTTGTTTTAGTAATTTCTAGTTAGGATGCTTAAGTTTAGGTACCTAGGCAAATTTAAATATTATCATTTCTGTTAATAGTAAAGGAGGATATTAAATACAGAAATTTTGGATTGAAACAAATGTTCCTGTACCTAGCTGAATAGAGTTTTTTGGCTGAAGTCATTTCTACAGGCTAAGGATTGATCCCAGTTATGATTATGAGGTTCCCTTTATTACTAGGTTTTAATTCATTTTACCAAGTTTTTATTATTTGGTTGTCAGACTGGAGTAAACGTTTGTGTGTTTTATATAATTTACTTATTCAAGTGATTGAAATAGTAATTAAAAATTGTTTTAGGCAAGGTTAAAGACAGGTAAATTGGCAGTAGCAAGTATTTGTCTCTGGGAAAGAGATAAAAAATTTAGAAGCATGACCCCAGGAAACAGCTCTCTCTGGTCATTTAGAATAAGCATAAACATCCCACTGAAACTCAGTAACCTTGAAAGAATCACTGCATTGAAGCATAATTTAGTAATTAAGATGTAAAACGATGATCCTGACTCCTCATGTAAATCTTAAAATTATCATATTCTGTTTAACAAAGCAGGAATATGGTACCCTACACCACATTTTAAGAGTATTTCTAACTAAAATTTAAGTTAAAATCTTTCAATCCTTCAAAGAACACCATGAGATAGCTGGAAAATTTGATTCCTGTACACAAAAATGAGCCTTATTTATAATTTTTAACAATAATCATCCTTGCATTTTTGAGAAGCCGTCTAAAGCTGAGGATCCGTGAATCTGTTCTGAAGCTAGGCAGTCTTTATTTTAAATCAAGGTGTCCTGTGAGCCAGAGCTCCCTGTCCCCTTAGTAATGGCTGATGTCCTGGCCTCTGAAAGCGTCAGGTTCTTTGTGATCCCCCTTTTATCTCCTTTGCTAAGAAGAAACAGTAACTCCAAAATATGCAGAGAGGTTCAGTGTTTGTTTTTAGAGAAATAATGGTCTTTAGCCACTGAAGTGTTTTTCCTATTTTCGGCTGAAAGTCATTTTAGTTATTTTTATTGTTTTAAATATTGCTTCATGGGCTTCCCTGGTGGCGCAGTGGTTGAGAGTCTGCCTGCCAATGCAGGTGACACGCGTTCATACCCCGGTCCAGGAAGATCCCACGTGCCAAGGAGCGGCTGGGTCTGTGAGCCATGGCCGCTGAGCCTGCGCGTCCGGAGCCTGTGCTCCTCAACGGGAGAGGCCACAGCAGTGAGAGGCCCGCGAACCACAAAAAAAAAAAAAAAAGATAAATATTTCTTCACTTGATTTTTTTCCTGATTGACTTGATGGTCTATTTTCTAACTGTCAAGGGAAAGGTAAAAATATTAGCCAAAAATTATGATTTTTTTAAGTTAACAATAAGTGGATTATGCTTACTGAAATTATTGATTTAAGAACTATTAAATCCTTTTAAATAATGATTTTATAATAGAAACACTAATTCATGTTAGAATTTAGCTTAAAATATGATTTTTGTTTCTTGAAATGTTAACTGGAAACGTGAATTTTGTAGTTTTTAAATAGCACAGTGGTGGTCTTTGTTACTGTGTTTTGAGCCAAGAGTAATCTTTTCCATCCTTAGGATCTTATGACAGCAGAGGGGCTCTGGGAGCTTTGATGGCTTGTCTACGAACAGCTAGAGCTCATGGACATCTTCAGTCTGCAACTGATGCCTGGAGGGACCTTGTGTCCAGTGCAAGAATAAAGCAAGGCTTAATTCATCAGCACTGCCAAGTAAGTAAACAAAATAGCTGGGAATTCATACATGCGGTAGATCCCTGATTCATTTATTCATTTAACAGTGCGATATAGAAGCCCCTACATTATGCCCAGCACTGTTTTAAGGGCTCCATAAGAAGGATGAATAGAAAGGGAAGAGTATAGACTTTGTACTCAGGCTGCTTAAAGTTTAGTTGAGAGAATAAGGAAACCTGCCTAAGACAACTGGAAACTCTTAGAAGACAATGCAGATAGAAGTGTACCTTTATGCATAAAGACTGGGGAAGCTTAGAAGAAGAGATTGATCTGAGTATAGATGGTGGTTGAGTAGGAAAGTGATAAATGTGATCTGAGGAGGGGAAGCACTGGCGCCTACTCAAAATGGAAGGACACAGTAAACAAGGGCTGAAGGGTGACTAAAGACATCGTTTGGCAGGAGTGGAGTATTTTGTCCATTTTATGGAAGCCTCCAATGCTTGGTTGAAGACTTCAGATTTTATCCAGTTGGTAACTGGGAAGCAGAGCCACTCTGCCTTTAGCCAGGAAGTGGCATGAATGGAAACAGAGATGAGTTTCCAGAGTGGGAGCAAAAAGAAACCAGTGAGATGTTCAAGACAGTAATTGGAGAGTGAGATGATGTGGTCCTGGGGCAGAGTGGTTCACTGAGAAAAAAGAATGAAGTTGAGCATTACTGTGGAATAAGAATCTCTAAGATTTTTGACTTTAATAAAATACCCAATTTACACATTTAATAAAATAATTTTATAGGAAATAACCACAGGAACTTTGGGATTATGGAACCTTTCTGAAGTACACATGGGTAAACTGAGATTTACCTTCCCTCCCCCCCCACCTTTGGTAGCCTGTGTAAATAATTAAACCCGTCAAGTGGTTTAGGCTTTGCTTATTTCATTGAAAAATTAACATTTTATTGCTTGGTGTATTTTAGGTACGGATCGATACGTTAGGCTTGCTTTGTGAAAGTAATCGAAGCACAGAAATTGTTTCCACAGAAGAAATGGAGTGCATTCAGTTCTTTATCACATACAATCTTAACAGTCAGTCTCCAGGAGTGCGGCAACAGATTTGTTCTCTTCTTAAAAAGGTAAAATTTCTCCTCAGAAAGTGTAGGAAAGTGGTGAACTTTGCTCTGGAATTATTTTTAAAAAGAGCCCAGATCCGAGGAGAGTGTGGGAATAAGGGTCATGGGATTGGAGTACCACAGCTCTTCATGGCCCTTCTGTGAACGCTTTGTTCTGTGATTCCATAAAGTTCATATTTGGGGTTAAAATCCAGAGTGAAAAGTCCTTTCACTTTGGTGTAATAAGTCAGCCTTGAACTCTTTTTTTGAAAGGAAAAAAAAAAATCTAGCACTGGAGTTTTCAGGGTATAAGGTATTTTAAGAAAACTTTAGTAAGAGGAGGAAGGATGTCTTTGTATTTTTATTGTTCCTGTAAGTGCCTCAAGAAATAGTCATTATTGAATAATTCAGCTTGAATTAATCACCTGATACACTTCTAGGGTGAAGAGTGGGTAGAGAGTAGAAGTGAGTATATCATCTTTAGGTTCATGCTGACCTAAAGGAAATAGAACTGTGGCTTTATGACTGTGGATTCTGATTTGCAGTAATATTTGGTTTTTGGTTTTTAAAATGTAAAGGTTAATTTTCTGTTGAGTTTAAAAATCAGTATTCCCCTTGCCTGACATTTTAGTCTAAAGAATTTAGAAAGTTCTTCCTTTGCCTTTTAATCTGATGTTTAAGGTTAATGTGGCTTATGTATGCTTCATTTTTCTTCTTCTCAAAGTTGTTTTGTAGGATACAGGAAAGTTCTCAGGTACTTTATAAACTGGAACAAAGTAAATCCAAACATGAACCAGAGAATGAGTTAACCAGACAGCACCCTTCTGTATCTTTACAGCAATATAAGGTAGGTGATAAATTTCTAGATATACAGATTTTTAAGAAACCTAAAACAATTTTGAATAAACATTAAAGAGAAGTAAATACTCTTGGTGAATAGTATTTCTGTGCTTTTTTCCTTCAAGCTGGGTTTTACATATTCCTTCTAGTGCTTTGGAACTTCTCTTAAGGTAGCCTGAGTTGCGGAACCAGTGCTGGACTTGAAGTCTGTTATAGAATAACATTCTGGGAAAACTGGACAGCTACATGTAAAAGAATGAAATTAGAACACTCCCTAACACCATACACAAAAATAAACTCAAAATGGATTAAAGACCTAAATGTAAGGCCAGACACTGTAAAACTCTTAGGGGAAAACATAGGCAGAACACTCTGACATAAATCACAGCAAGATCCTTTTTGACCCACCTCCTAGAGAAATGGAAATAAAAACAAAAATAAACAAATGGGACCGAATGAAACTCAAAAGCTTTTGCACAGCAAAGGAAACCATAAACAAGACGAAAAGACAACCCTCAGAATGGGAGAAAATATTTGCAAATGAAGCAACTGACAAAGGATTAATCTCCAAAATTTACAAGCAGCTCATGCAGCTCAATATCAAAAGAACAAACGACCCAATCCAAAAACGGGCAGACAACCTAAATAGACATTTCTCCAAAGAAGATATACAGACTGCCAACAAACACATGAAAGGATGCTCAACATCACTAATCATTAGAGAAATGCAAATCAAAACTACAATGAGGTATCACGTCACACCAGTCAGAATGGCCATCATCAAAAAATCTACAAACAATAAATGCTGGAGAAGGTGTGGAGAAAAGAGAACCCTTTTGCACTGTTGGTGGGAATGTAAATTGATACAGCCACTATGGAGAACAGTATGGAGTTTCCTTTAACAAACTAAAAATAGAACTACCATATGACCCAGCAATCCCACTACTGGGCATATACCCTGAGAAAACCCTAATTCGAAAAGAGTCATGTACCACAATGTTCATTGCAGCTCTATTTACAATAGCCAGGACGTGGAAGCAACCTAAGTGTCCATCAACATATGAATGAGTGAAGAAGATGTGGCACATATATACAATGGAATATTACTCAGCCATAAAAAGAAACGAAATTGAGTTATTTGTAATGAGGTATCGGATGGACCTAGAGACTGTCATACAGAATGAAGTAAGTCAGAAAGAGACAAAACAAATACCATATGCTAACACACATGTATATATGGAATCTAAAAAAATTAAAAATTGTTCTGAAGAACGTAGGGACTGGACAGGAATAAAGACTCGGACATAGAGAATGGACTAGAGGACACGGGGAGGGGGAAGGGTAAGCTGGGACAAAGTGAGAGAGTGGCATGGACATACATACATTATCAATTGTAAAATAGATAGCTAGTGGGAAGCATAGCATAGGGAGATCAGCTCGGTGCTTTGTGACCACCTAGAAGGGTGGGATAGGGAGGGTGGGAGGGAGACACAAGAGCAAGGAGATATGGGGATATATGTATATGTATAGCTGATTCACTTTGTTATACAGCAGAAACTAACACACTATTGTAAAGCAATTATATTCCAATAAAGATGTTAAAAAAAATAGAATAACATTAATGAGCTAACCTCGATGTTTTACAGCTTATGTGAGCCAGATGAATTTAGTACTTTAAAAAAAGGTAATTGGCAGCCCTGATTCCTCCACGCTTCCCCGGGGTAGATGACTGCTGCATCTGAGTGTGTTTCCCCTTTCATCTAACATGATTTCACAGTAGCTTGATGTTTGTGACTCCTGGCCCATGGTCCAGTTACAGAGCTTCCTCTCTATCCTGTTTTTTGGAGTGAACTTGAAGAATAGGACTGGATTTCAGGGCACCAGGTTCATGTCATGGATGGATCCCCAGTTATAGCAGCTCCAGTCTGGGCCAGGGCTCAGCTCGACAACCTTCAATTTCTGTCCCAACGGAACAGAATGAGCTTTCACTGGTTTCTTTCTCCAAATCTTTCCTCTCGGAAGCAGATACTTATTTTCTCCTAACGCCCAGATAGAGGACAGAGCTCATCTATTTTATTTCATTTAGGGAAACAAGTATAATAGGTGATATATTGGAACCATGCTATACTTACTACCTACTAAAGGTTAAAAATCATCTAAAGAAGAACATTCCTGTACAAAGGCTGAAATCAGCTTCATCTTCGTAAAATCTCAACAACAAAAGATGAGAAAGTCACAACCTAAACTTGAAGGACATGATTAGTAACAATTCTGCCACTGACTACTTGGCTTACTTTCATGAGTCTACTTAGCTATAAGTGGGATGAGTAACCTCTCTGAAAAGATTGGTTTTGAGGATTAAACAAGAAATGTTCTTTGCAAACTCTAGATCACTCTTAAAAGCCTTCCTGGGCATCATTAAAAGTAACTAGAGTATAGAGCATTTACTGTGTGTGTGTAACAGTTATGTTTTAGCCCTTTTTAGATCATTGCTAGATGATCTCAGAAACACCTTGCTTCTTTTTGCAGGGGATAAAATGACATTTGTGAAATCTCAATTAGGTACTTAGAAACACAAAACTGATTTTGTGGTGTGACATTCTGAATTTTCATGTATGCGTGGTTTCTTCGTTTTGCTTATGAATATATATTTTTTGAAAACTAGTCCTTTAGAGTCTTGATCTGAGTCAGTCTCATAGTTCTGATATTTTCTCCCACCTGTAGGCTCTTGTGGCTTTTGGAGGTTGCAACTTCGGAACTGTTGTATCATCGTCATTAGAATAGTGGGTGTCGTGTGCGGTGTGTGGTGGGCTCAGTGCCAGTCAACAGACTAAGTGCTGGGAGAAGAGAAGGCTATGAGTGGGAAAAGGTGTCTTCTAGTCTAGTGAAGGAGGTTATTTCATACTCTAGTATAATACAGTACTTAAAAATATGTTAGCTAGAGTACTTTCAAGTATAAAATGCTTTAGATCCGTGTTCTCCTTTAATCTTTAATAACGAAACTGTGAGATAGGCATTATTATCCTCACTTAACAAGTGAGATAAGTGAAGCTTGGAAAAGTTGAATGAGCAAACTATCCAAGGGTCCTCAGCCAGGAAGTGGTAGAGCCTGACTACAATCTATATCTGCTCTGGACAACCAAATCGGAATAGTTTCTTCCCTAGTACCAGCTTGAGGGAAGGCTTGGAGGTAAGAGAGTACAGGGAAAATTTGGAGAATGGTGAATTCACTAGTATGAATGACATATAAGATACTTGAGGGACAGAGGATTTTTTTTTTGGCCACGCCCCACAGTATGTGGGATCTTAGTCCCCCAACCAGGGATCAAACCCATGCCCCTTGCATTGGAAGCACAGAGTCCTTTTTTTTTTTTTAACTCTTTGTTTTTTTTTAAAAGTATTTGTTTATTTATTTGGCTGTGTCAGGTCTTAGTTGCGGCATGCAGGATCTTTCGTTGCAGTGCACAGGCTCTTTCTTGCGGCGTGCAGGCTTCTCTCTCGTTGTGGTATGTGGGCTCTAGAGTACACGATCTCTCTAGTTGTGGCACGTGGGCTCTAGAGCACTCGGGCTCAGTTGTTGCAGCATGCGAGTTCCACGGCATGTGGGATCTTAGTTCCCCAGTGAGGGATCGAACTCGTGTCCCCTGCATTGGAAGACAGATTCTTAACCACTGTACCACCAGGGAAGTCCCCGGACAGAGGAATTGAATAATGGGAAATGAGTTAGAAAATCAATTTGGGAATGGGTAGCAGAGAGTTTTGAATGCTAGGCCATGGTATCTGGAATCCCCACCAAGGGACATTAAAAGGGACTAGAGCATATATTGAGCCCTTACTATGTGTGTAGTACAGTGTGTTCAGGACATAAATGTTTAAATTGTGGTTCCTGCCTCCATTGTGGTTACAGTCTGGTTGAGGGAAAGAACAACTATATCTGAAAATACAATTGACAGTGCAGTTAGGATAAGATAAATCCTAAAGGATGAACTTGTTGCCATTTAATGTGAATACTATACTACTCATTTATAATTAACACTAGTTTAACTAGGATATTTTCAATAACTACCCTATTCCTTTGAAACCCTATTAATTAATAGAATTAATAAACTAGTAAACTCTTACTTAGGGCTTGTAAGGGCCTACAGGATAAATCCCCAAGATTGTATGTCCTTAACCAAGGAAATGAATGCAGGAATCCTATCTAAAGATGGTTGGGACTAGGGCTGCTTATATGCTGCTTAGTTACAAATATATGTTGTCAGGGCGTAGCAGTGTATGAGAGGCTTGAGAATCACAGCTTTTCCCATATGTTTTTCCTTTGGTCTTATGGAGAAATTATTATTATTTTTTTAATTAGAGGAAGAAGACTTTATCCTGGATAAACTATTTCCCACATTGCTTTTTTTATTGCATTTTACTGAAAGTTTTCATTTCTAATCATTTGTATAAACAGAAAGGTAGAATAGGAGTCTCAGAGAGGCAGATAGAAGACAGTGGAATAGCTAGATCTTTGTCATGAAATATGTCATTATAGCTAGATACCAAGTATTTATCAAATGTATCAAGTAGTATATATTGGATATGTCTTTGGTCATTTTAAAACTTAAAAAAAAAGTATATATACCTTTGATGCCTGAATGCTTCTGGTGAAGAAAATCAATATTCATACAACTTTAACACAAGTCAGGGCAGAATGGATCATGTTTTCACCAGAAAAATGTTTTTTCTCGTCTGGACTACATTTAGAATTGTACTTTTTGTTGTTGTTGTTGTTTTTTTAACTTAAATCAGGTATAATTGACATAATAGTTTCAGGTGTACAACACAGTGGTTAGACATTTGTATATATTGGGACATGATTACCACATTAAGTCTAGTTAACATTTGTCACCATACAAAGTTAGAAAAAGTTTTTTTTCTTAGCAACTTTCAAATATACAATGTAGTAGTATTAACTATAGTCACTTTACTATACATTACAGCTCATGGCCTATTTATTTTATTTTATATCTGGAAGTTTGTATCTTTTGACTCTATTCACCCATTTTTCCAAATCCTCCCCCACCCGACCCCTGGCAGCCACCAGTCTGTTCTCTGTATTTATGAGGTTGGTTTTTGTTTTTAATTTTTTAATTCTATATAAAAGAGAGATCATTAAGTCTTTGTCTTTTTCTGTCTGATTTATTTATCTGTTTATCCATCCTTGGACACTTATGTTGTTTCTATATCTTGACTGTTGTAAATAATGCTGCAGTGAACATGGGGGCACACATATCTCTTTAAATTAGTGTTTTCGTTTTCTTCTGTACTTCTTGTTGACTCTACAAAGATAGGGTTCACTGAAGTCATGAGCTCATGGTCAAGGGTGCCAATCTGAATTGTCAAGCAAAGTGAACAACTAATATTGTTTTAAAAAATCTTTTCTCTCTAAATTAGAAAAAATATCACTCTTCAGAGTAATAGTAGTGATACTTTCAAGATAAGCTATTGTGAGTTAGCTCAATTATATTTACTGTAATTTTTTTTTTTTTAGAATTTCATGTCATCCATTTGCAACAGTCTTTTTGAAGCATTATTTCCTGGCTCTTCCTACCCAACTAGATTTTCAGCTTTAACCATTTTAGGCTCCATAGCTGAAGTTTTTCCTGTGCCAGAAGGTAAGTTTTCAATCATGTTTGGGGAAAGTATTTGTTTTCTTGCAAAACATACTGTTTCAATATTTTGTTTTACTTGAAGTTTCAGGTTTGTTGTCTTTTGTTTAGATTCTTATCGAAGGTGTAAGTCTCATTATATAATTCTTATTTGGACATAATTCAATTTGCCAGTAAGGGGCATAAGGGAGAGAAACTTTACAGTGATTGTTATTTGCTGACCCGAAACTAGAGTTTTCATGGATTATGCTTATTATGAGATGAGTTGCTGCCCTCATTCCCCTAATTTGTATGTTGCTATTTTAGGATAGTGCCCAATCTGTTCTCTAAGTTTAAAAAATTAAAATAATAATAGTTTCTCTTATGTATAACATTCCTCAGTGAGTCTCTGTGGTTAAAATGTGGTTTCCCTTATATGCTGTCTGTTTCATAAGTCTGAATCTGGTTTTGGAAAGACAATATAAGGATGTCATTTCCAGGCATTCTGGTTTAATCATACCCTTTGTATCTCCTCTGTGGGGTACTCAACAGGATGAATATTTAACTTCTTTCTTTGCGTTGTTTTATTTTCCTTTTTTTTTTAAGGTTTTTAAAATTTTTATTTATTTATTTATTTTTGGCTGTGTTGTGTCTTCATTAATGCACACAGGCTTTCCCTAGTTGCCGCGAGCGGTGGCTACTCTTCACTGCACTGCATGGGCCCCTCATTGCAGTGGCCTCTCCCGCTGCGGAGCACAGGCTCCAGATGCACGGGCTTCAGCAATTGTGGCTCGCAGGCTCTAGAGCACAGGCTCAGTAGTTGTGGCGCACAGGGCTCAGCTGCTCCGCAGCATGTGGGTTCTTCCCGGACCAGGGCTCGAACCCGTGTCCCCTGCATTGGCAGGCGGATTCCCAACCACTGCACCACCAGGGAAGCCCTTATTTTCCTTTCTGACAAGAAATGATTCTTTTTATCTCCATACATGAATGTATGTGTATTTTAATGATGATTTCTTGTTTGTGCTCAGTCTTGCTTGACGGTGGACAAACAGGAAAATGTACTGCTCTTTTGGAGGGAATGGCCAAAGGACCAGGAAACTTTATAGTTGGACTTTTTTTTTTAGTTTAAATTTTTAGGCAAAGTATAATTTTTTGGCAGTTATTTGCTGTTAATACAGACTTGCTTCATTTGAAGAAAACCAGTTTTTTCAAGTTTTTGTTTTGAAAAAGTTGAAACTAACAGCAAAGTTTCAAGAATAGTTCAGTGAATAAACAAACAAAGTTTCAAGAATAGTTCAGCCATGAACCCTCTACTTAGATTCATAAGTTATTTTGCGATATTTGCTTTACCTCACTGTTTCTCTCTCATTAATTTTCTTTCTTTAAAAAATTTATTTTATTTTTGGCTGTGTTGGGTCTTCATTGCTGTGTGCAGGCTTTTCTCTAGTTGCGGAGAGAGGGGGCTACTCTTGGTTGCGGTGCGTGGGCTTCTCATTGCGGTGGCTTCTCTTGTTGTGGAGCATGGGCTCTAGGCGCATGGGCTTCAGTAGTTGTGGCACTCGGGTTCAGTAGTTGTGGCTCGCAGGCTCTAGAGCGCAGACTCAGTAGTTGTGGCGCACGGGCTTAGTTGCTCCGCGGCATGTGGGATCTTCCTGAACCAGGGCTCGAACCCGTGTCCCCTGCATTGGCAGGCGGATTCTTAGCCACTGCGCCACCAGGGAAGCCCTCTCATTAATTTTCTAACCATAACACAATGATCAAATTCAGGAATTAATGTTGATACAATGCTGTTATCTAATATACAGTCCATATTCAAATTGTACCAGTTGTCCTAATAAGTGGCTTTTTGTAGAAAAAATATTTTTCCCCACAATCCAGGAACCAGTCTAAAGTCACACATTGCATTTAATTGTTATGCATCTTGAACCTCTTTCAATTTGGAAATTTTCTTATTTCATGACATTAACATTTTGGAAGAATGTATCTCAGTTTGGGTTTGTCTGATTGTTTTCTTATGACTTGATTCATGTTATGCATTTTTGGCAGGAATATTGCATAGGTGATATAGTTTCTTTCTCAGGGCATGGTAACAGGAGATACATGATGTTAGTTTGTCCCATTATTCTTGATAAATTGGATCACCTGATTAAGTAAGTGTAGTAGGACAAAAAATGACCTCCAAAAGAAACCCGTACCAAATCCTTAGAACTTGTGAAAGTGAACCTTACTTATTTAAACCTTACTTATTGGGCTTCGCTGGTGGTGCAGTGGTTGAGAGTCCGCCTGCCGATGTGGGGGACACGGGTTCGTGCCCCGGTCCGGGAAGATCCCACATGCTGCAGAGTGGCTGGGCCTGTGAGCCATGGCTGCTGAGCCTGCGCATCCGGAGCCTGTGCTCTGCAATGGAAGAGGCCACAACAGTGAGAGGCCCGTGTACCACAAAAACAAACAAACAAACAAACAAAAAAACACCTTACTTATTTAGGGGTTTTTTAAGATATGATTAAGTTAAAGATCTTAAAATGAGATAATCTTGGATTATCTGGATGGGCCTTAATGCCACTGCAAGTGGCATTGTAAGAGGGAGGCAGAGGGAAATGTGACAAAAAGAAAAGGAGGAGTCATTGTGACAGTGGTGATAGAGATTGGCATGCTGTGGCTATAAGCCAGGGAATGCTGGCAGCCACCAGAAGCTGAAAGAGACGAGGAATGAATTCTCCCTTAGAGACTTGAGAGAGAGCATGGCCCTACAGACACCTTGATTTCAGACTTCTGGCTTCCAGAACTGTGAGAAAATAAATTTATGTTGTTTTAAGCCACCAAGGTCATGGTAATATGTTACAGCATCCACAGAAAATGAATACAGGAATACCCATCAGTTTAGGGAATTTCAGTGGTACTACAACTGAATTTAGAAAATAAGGTTTTACCTGAGAGTGATTGATTATCCATTTAACAAAAAGTTTTCTGTGCATTCCTATGTTTATAGTTAACACCTAGCTGTATGGGAAATATCTAGGCTGAATTATACTGGTAATTTTTCAATTGAGAGAATAGTTTAATATATTTAAATATACTTTAAAAGTGAAAAACCTGTGTCATCTTTCTAATGAATGAGTCATGTATAATTGGGCAGTGACTGATGGCACAGTAATGATGTTAATTAAACAACTGGGAAGTAATGTAAATAGAGCAAACCATACTGTACCCATTAACTGTAAAGGAGGCTAAAGAAGCATGACTGAAAAATACAGGATAGGAAATGTAAACTCATTCTTCATCTTTATCTCAAGAATACTAATGTAGGTTTTTATATTATTTTATAGAAAGACTGTGATTTGGGATTAAAATGGCTTTTTCCTTTCCTCAGGTATGTCCTAGTTCAAGAAGAATAAGCCACATACATCTTTCTCATTTGGAATAAAATGTCACAATATTCATGGTGAAAAATTGGATTCCACAATTAGATTAAAAGGGCTTGTTCAACAAATAATTTATTTAGTGCCAAGGATACACAGTATACAAAACAGAGTGCTTCCCATTTTACAGCTTAGATTTTAGTGAAGATAGACAGACTAAGTAAGTCAACAAGTGATACGCAGAATTTCAGATGGAGATAAGTAGTATGAAAAAATATTTCAAGAAGAAAAGTGCAGGGAAGTATAGAGTGCCTGGGAGTTTGGGAGTAACAGCACTTTCATACAGTCGTGTCAGAGAAGGCTTCCAATTTGAGCAGAGCTCTTAACTAACCAATGGGTCAAAGGGGAAATTAGAAAATACTTTGAGAGGAAAGAAAACAAAAACACAACTTACCAAAACTTATAGGATGAAGCAAAAGCACTGCTAATAGAGAGATTTATATAACTGTAAATGCCTACATTATGTAAGAAAAAAAGATCTCAAATCAATAACCTAACTTTACACCTCATGGAATTAGAAAAAGAAGAGCACACTTACCCCACAGTTACAGAAAGAAGGAAGTAATAAAGATTAGAATGAAGAGAATGGAGATAAATGAAATAGAGAATAGAAAAACAATACAGAGAATCAGCAAAACCAGAAGTTGTTTTTTTTTTAAGATCAACAAAATTGACAAAGTTTTAGCTATACTAAGAATAAAAAAAGATGTAAATCACTAAAATCAGAAATAAAATTAGAGACATTTCTACTGACCTTATAGAAATAAAAAAGATTATAAGACTACTGTGAACAGTTATATTGTATTTCTAATAAATTAGGTAACCTACATGAAATGGACAAATTCCTAGTAATATACAAATTGCTGACTCAAGAAGTAGAAAATTTGAACAGACCTATAACAAATAAAGAGATGGAGTCAAAAGCCTCTCAAAAGAAAAGCTCTCAGCAAAGAAAAGTCCAAGGGGAGTGGCTTCATTGGTATATTCTCCCAAACATTTAAAGAAGAATTAATGCCATTCCTTCTCAAACTTCAAAAAAATTGGAGGAAGGAACATTTCCTAACTCATTCTATGAAGCCAGCATCACTCTGATACCACAAGAAAACTACAGCTGTATCTTATATAAATATAGGTGCAGAAATTCTCAAGAAAATGCTAGAAAACCAAATCCAACAGCATATTAAAAGTATTATATACCATGACTAAGTGGAATTTATCCCAGGAATGCAAGGGTGTTTCAGCATAAGAAAATATAGTAAATGTAATGCACTACATTAGAACAAAAGAAAAAAAAAACATGATAATCTCAATGGAGAAAAAGTATTGACAAAATTCCACACCCTTTTAGACAAACACTTAGCAAACTAGGAATAGAAGAGAACTTCCTCATTATGATAAAGGACATTCATGAAAAGCCCATAGACAACACCATATTCAATGGTGAAAGACTGAAAGTTCCTCCCCTATGATCAGGAGCAAGACACAGATGCTTACTTTCACTGCTGCTATTCACTGTTGTACCAGAAGTTTTAGCCAGAGGAATTAGGTAAGAAAAAGAAATGAAAGGTGTCCGAATTGGAAAAGAAGAGGCAGATTTGAGCAGAGGTG